GCAGCAGCGGCTCGGGGAGGTAACTCGCCCGGGTGACGTCAGGTCACAACATTCCTTAAAGGGGAGGCCGGCGCGCCGCTCCCATTGGGCCGACGCAAAATCCGCCCGCCCGGACCGTGACGTCACGGCGCAGAGAGCCTGGATTCTCGGCCCCGCACCGCGAAGAGGAAGGGGCGGGGGCTCCCAGGGCGCGTCACAGTCCCGTGACGTCATTATGTCCTGCGCAGGGGCGGGCGGGGTTGGGGGAGGTTTGAGGCCCAGGCTGAGGAAACTGGAAAGCCTAGGGGGCCTTTGGGGGAAGCGGATTCGCAGCTCTGGCTGCTAGGAGAGCGAGGCCGGGCTGTGGCACAGCATCCTTCTATTCCCGTTGTCAGTAAGTCATCTGACAGCGCTCACTTGGAGTCTGTTCCGTTCTAGGGACAGTACAAGGCACTGGGATGGCAACAGTAAACCAAACGTCCTACGAGCTTTCGTGGAGCTCATGGTTAAAAAAGGGTGGGGGTGGGATGGGGAGTAAAATATGAAGACACTTAGAGCAAGACACTAAAAAGGAACAGAAGCGTTTTAAAAGAAATTTCTAGAATTGAAAAATAAAGCTATTGAAATTAAAGTCTCAAAGGATGAGGTAAGAAAGCAGGTGAGACAGCAGAAGAGAAAAATCACTGAGCTAGGCGATACAGCAGAAGCAAGTAGTCAGAAAACAAGCCAGATGGAACATGTACAAGAAGTGACAGGAAGTAAAGGGAGAACTCACAGGTCCAACCAGAGCTTCAGAAAGAGAGAAGAGACTGTGGGAGAGGCAGTTCCTGAAGGAGAACTTCCAGAATTGATTAGACCAGGATTCTCACATAAAATCCAGAACAGAATAAATAGCTCATCTAGGCACTTTGTACTGAATTTGCAGAATTCTAAAGAGAAGAAATTAGACTGAAAAATGACAAGTAACTAAACTGGTAAACATGGAAATACATCTAAACAAACACCTGCTATGGAATATGACATGATGATTAGCTTGTGGAGCACAGGGCACAATTACATGCAGGGCTGGAGAGGGTAGTCAGAGTTCAGGTGTTCTTAGAAGCTTGATTTTATTTGAGAGGAGGAAGTCATTGATAATTGTCTGGCTTTGTAAAGTATGTGTTTCAAACACTTCAGAGGGATCACTAAAAGAATAGAAATAGAAAGTATAACTGCCAACACAAAAGAGAAAAGTTTAGTAAAAGGTATTAAAATATAATAAAACGTGAAAAAAGGAGGCAAAGTGAAAAAAATGGTATATAAATGGCACCAAACAAGAGGTAGAAAATGTTTTACATTCACTTATAAAAACAGAGATGAACAGATTGGTCAAGAAAAATAAAATGCAGCTCTATGCTGTTTAGCAGAGGACATTTAAAATGTACAGGCACCAAAAGTAAAAAGATGGAAAACAATATAACAGAGAATGAAAAACTAACCAAAAGATATATCCATAGCAAAATTAGACAACATGGGCTTTAGGGCTAGAGACATTATTAGAGATAAAAAGGGTCAACACAAAATAATGAAAAGAACAATTTTCTAGGAAGATAGAGCAATTCTGAATGTGAGTGTTAGAAGTTTTTTTTTTAAAAGCCTGAAAATTTATGAAGCAAAAGAGACATGATACAAGGAGAAATTACCGAATCCTTCATCACAGTGGGAGATTTAAGACCTCTTTCAGTAACTGATAGACCAAACAGCCAAAAAAAGGATTTGGATGATTTTCATACTATTAATAATCTTAATCAGTGGACACTGAGAGAATCCTGAACCCAATATGTTATTTTCAAGCACACAAGGAGCATTTATCAAAGATGACCTGACTTCTACCTCAAGACAAGCATCAGCAGACATCAAATAATCAATTTCATACAGACCATGTTCTCTGAGCACAGGCAAGAGCCGAGTAAACTCCAAATCTTTGGATTTTTAAACATTCTTCTAGAAAACTCTTTACTCATAGATGAAATTGTATAGAAATGAAAACCACTTATATCAAACTAAAAATGACAATACATATAAAAACTCCAGGGAATGAGTGGGGGTGTGGAGAGATGACTAAAGAAGCATTTAAAGATCTGTAGCCTCATTAGTAATATTAGGTAAGAAGAAATATGGAAAGTTTATGAGCAGAATGTCAAAGAATTTTAAAACATAGTAACTGTAAAACCAAAGAAAATGGAAAGAAGATAATAATGAAGAGCAGAAGTTGATGAAACCAAAAAAAAGCATTAATATGGACCACAAAACAAAGCTGGATCTTTGAAATGACCAATAAAATAAACGTTAATGTGCAAAAGGAACATAACTACAGACATAGCAGAAATGACAAAAATAAGATGATAAACTTTATGCTAATACATTAAAAACTTAGATGAAATGGACAATTTTCTAGAAAATGATAATTTGCCAAGACTAATTCAAAAAGAAACAGAAAAACTGAGTAGTCATATACCTCAAAGAAGCAACTAGTCCAGATGGTTTTCTAGTTGAGGTCTTCCAGAATAAAAACAAAACAAAACAAAACAAAAAACTCCCAAACCTGCATCAAACATATACTTAATGGTAAAACACCATATGGTAAGGTAAATGCTAAGCATTATTCCCTTTAGATTCAAGAACAAAATTTTGAATTGTATCACTGAACAAAATGCAGTGTTGCATGGAGGGCCCAGCCAGAGCACCAAGACAAGGAAAAGGAGTAAAATTA